GCCCAAGTTGGAGGACTCCACGAACAAGGGAGGAGGAGACTTCACGCTGTGTGAAGATCTCTAAGCGCTGCGGATCCTTACGGACCCAGTGCATTTAAAGCAGGCAACTGAGGTCTGATCAAGCTCTAGCCTCTCCCCGTCGCCGAGCGCAATCCAGACGTATTCCTTCCCGCGCGCAAAAGAACTGGACCCACGGAGCCTAGCAAACTCCGTGTGAATGAGTGAGCAGAAGGACCCACAGAGCCTAGCAAACTTCGTGTGAGTTTATTCAGAGCTCTTCCGGACGAGTACTTTCTTCAGCTGACACAACGGGCTCGCGTGTTCAGAGCCTTCAGCCGGATTGGGCTAGAGTTCACAACTCTTGTCCGCTTCTCTTCTTTCCTGTCTGTAACTGCAACTCAAGCAAGCTTTCCAGCCTGCACCACTGCCATCTCGGTGTAAGTAAACAATCTTTTAAACTACCAATACGCGTTTGTGCCTAATTCCAGCTTGACAGCCTTCCCTCTCTGACCCGGCGTGCCCGGGCTGCTGGCCACAGCCCGTGTGCAGCGCGGAAAAGGGCTCGGGTTGCTCCCGGCCCGCACACTATCAAGTTATACTATAATTTTAAAGGAGTCTAAAAGCATAGGAAAACAAATAAAAGCATAGGAAAACAAGTAAGTTACCCAGAAGTAAATAGGAGGAGTACTTGTTACTACCTGTGTGGATAGTCTTACCCCATGGTAGGTGCAGATTGAGTTATGGCACCCTTTTTTTTTTCCTTCAGTGAAGCCTGGCAGCTGCATGGAAGGGTGGAAGGGTTGGGGGCATGAGCTGATGGAGCAGTCACTTCTGTCATGGTGTTGGAAGTCCCTAAATTGAAATCAGCAGGACAAGAAACTCACAATGTCTTATCTACATTTCCCTTAGGAAAGTTTCATGGTAGAAATTGTTAGTGCTGGGAAGATCTGTTATGGCTTTTCTTCATTCAAATATAAAATAGGCATCATGTTCGGCACCAAATGCCAACATCATGTGGAACCATTTGCTCACAGGGCAAAAATAGAAGGCCTGTTAGGACATTACCTAGATAAGAATGGCCATGTTGACAAGGCTTAACCTCTGAGGATCTTTCAACATTGTTCTGAAAGAATTACTCTTTTTAAAAAAAAGTGATGTGTTATGTACATAATTATTTGGTTTACTCCCCAGTGGACCTGTGGAATCCTTCTGTGTTCCGGCACTGACTAATGAAGATACTGAGTCAGAAGAAAACAGGGTATTAGTGCTGGGGGGTGGGAGGAACTGAAGATGCTCATGACCAGTAAATAGGACAGTTTACCTCCCACAGCTGCCTGTAACTCCTCCATATTCTGAGTTAAACAATAATAGGTGAGAGGTTGGCCAGGAGAGGCAAGAGTTCCCAAGGCCCCTCAGGTCCATGTAGGGAAAAATGGCCATTGCAGGATGGATCTGGGCAGGGACATCTGTGCCATGGCTGGTTGGCTGAGCTGGGCCCAGGCTGGGATAATCAGCAGAGATTTTAATGGCATCACTCAACATTTTTTTTGTTGAGAAGACAAAAAGTGTCTTACAAGGGCAAACCAATGGTCTGTCTAGTATCAAGCAGTAGATGTGTTAAACAGTATTTGGAAAGGGCATTGTTAGGATGGTAAACCCTTGCATTTTCCTTCCCTGTGTCTTGTGCATTTCCCACCCTTTTTTCTTGCTGATTTATGGTAAGCCCTTGAATTGGTCTTGAAGCTGATGCACTGCTTACTTATGCTTGCTTTTTCCTGCCCCTTTTCCCCTGTTGTTTGCAATCTGCTCTTTCTCCCGCTCTTTTCCCTTGATTTGTGCTGAGCCTGAACACTGAAAGGTCTTGGTCTTGCAGCTGATACTTACATTGCTTACCTATGCCCAAGTTGGAGATTTGACCAGGCATAACACTCAAGATGCTAAAGTTAGCAGAAAGTTATGTTTGTTTTACATGTTTGTTTACTTAGGGGAATGTAGGGCTTTAAATGGTTAATCATTTGTCTAATCATTTGACTGTTTGTTTAGTTGTGGAATAGAGGAACTCAAACCAGACAGGGGAGGAAACCAGTGGTATGTCAAGAGGGAAAATGTAAAAGGCTTTTAAGATGGTTAACTGCAAGTGACCGAAGGCAGCAGGGGTGACGATCTCATGCAGGCAGAGTGGAAAGTTTCATGGTAATGGACTAATGCATAGCCAATTCCATGTAAATGCAGGGGCGGAGCCGTGGGTGTAGCGGGGGGAAACTGGGCATGGTTTAATGCTAATGAGTGTGGACTGGAAAGTATAAATGTATGAACGCAAAGATGTTCTGGGTCGCTCCTCAGTTTGGTGGGGACCCACCTGAAGTTGCCTCCCCTTCAATAAAGCTGTTGAACTTGTGTGCTTGTGTTTGCCCCACAAGTGGTCATGCTCATGATCCCATGGGCAATTGATTCGTCGGCTCCCCTAGTCATTGGGCCTCACGTGGGGTTGAGGTTTAACAGGCATGTTTGGGCATGTCTCATACCTTTCCTGGAATTGACAATCACTGGTTTATGGATGTCAGAGAATATATCTGTGACTGTTCATTTAGTAGCTCCCGATGAACCTGTCCTCCACAAATGTGACTAATCAAGAATATAATAGAGTATTGACATATAGAGACAACTGGGGTACCACTGGATTCAGGCCCCAGCACCAGAAGTCTCCCAGCTGTCTCTAGCACCCAAGGTGACACCATAAAAGCCCTAATGTGAGAGAGACCTTGAAACACAGACTCCAAGATGAAGAAATGGAAGGAAAGCAGGACAGAGAGTCCCAGGAAAAGAAAGCATGGCCTTCTGACTGACTGGAAGTCTTCTGCTGGCATGATCTACGCAATGGAGAGAAGGACTCCACCTGCTGTATTGCAGTTAAGCAATAAATGGTGTATTGCTTAAGAAGGGATGCCTGCTTTCTGCATATGCACTCTTTGCCCTTTAAGAGGTAAAGTGCCTCTCCAGGAGCAAAGTCAACTCTGCTTTTTGTGGAGGTTATGCAGATTGCCAGGTGGTGTAGGAACTGGAAAGCCTTGTCTCAAAGTTTGAAAAACCATATGTTCACCTCTCTATAAACTATACCTGGGGTTAGTTTCAAGCAGTACACAGAGAAAATTCATTCAGGTTGTATGGTCTCAAGAGTGAGCCCCTCCGGGGAATGCATAATAGGGTGAACTGCTTCTTACCAGTGGATTCTGACTTCAGCTGTACAGAAATTCCATTGCATGAATAATATATTTCTTTATTTAACATGGTATAAAAGAACCCTTAGTCGAGGTTATACATGGCAACACTCAGTTTTAATAACTGAGTAATACCAGCAGCAGTAAAATATTCATTTCAACAAGAGCTCAGTAACGCTGACACTTTCTATTCTACATCACTGTGGAGAGAAAGTACTCCTCTCTCTCAGGATGCCCCATTTAAAAAGAAAAAAAAAAAAAAAGATATGTGTAAAAAAATAGCTGAGAACTCATGTACAGGTCCATTTAAGCAAACATTCCCTATTTTCTCCCTCCATGCATCCATTTTCCCAATCACTCCCAAGTACCTGTTCAGAAGAAAAAAAGCCCACTGACTGACTAATTGGGCATGTCCAGATGAGCGAGGATGTTTGTTTCCCCAGGGACAAGTAGCAGTGGCACACCTTGTGTTGGATAGGGGAGGCTGGGGTCAGTACCTGTGCTGGCCCCAGAAGCCTTACATGGGATCCTGGGGGCCTTCTGGGGCAGCAGCCATGGCAGGAAGCCTGGCCAGCAGCTGGAGCACGTCTCCAGGAAGCCAGGCTCTGGTTTGGGCGGCATGCACTGCCACCATGTGTGCTGCCTTGTTTTGACTGTGGAGGATTATTTACAAAGTACATTGCTTACAAGTGCAGAACAAAGTTTCATCTTAACTCATGGGAGCTATAGGAGAATATATTGAACACTTTGTCACCAAGCCCCTTTGGGATGGGAAAGAAGATAGTATAAATTTCTAAGTATAGAAGATCTAATTGCAATTAAGATGATTTAAATCTACAGGAATTTTACTGATTTCAGTGGAAATGGTATGGATTGAACACTGCCTTACTGTGGTGAACATTTCTACCAGTTATATTTATCTATGAAGAAAAAGATAATTAAATGACACTTATGAGAAAAAAATGGACACTTTCTTCCAAGTGAATTATTTCCAGACAAGAATTTTACCAAGGGCACCTTTGATCTCCTTATTTCTTATGCTGTAGATGATGGGATTGACCGTTGGAGGCCATATGGCATATAGAACAGCTACTATGAAATCCAGAGCTGATGGGGTGCTGGAAGTAGGTATTAAATAGGCACAAATGCCACTGAGAATAAACAGAGAGACCACAATGAGGTGAGGAGTACAGGTGGAGAAGGCTTTATGGCGGCCCTGCTTGGAAGGGATTCTCAGTACCACACCAAAGATCTGAACATATGATACAACAATGAAAACAAAACAGGTAAAAAATAAACACGCACTAAAGACAAGTATCCCTGCCTCACTGAGATATGAGTCAGAGCAGGAGAGCTGGAGCAGCTGGGGGACATCACAGAAAAACTTGTTGATAACATTGGAGTGGCAGAAAGGTAACCGAAAAGTGTTACCAGTGTGCAGTGAGGAGTAGAGAATGGAGGTGACCCACACACTGACGGTCAGCTGGACACACACTTTCCTGCTCATTATGGTCTCATAGTACAGTGGTTTGCAGATTGCAGTGTATCGATCATATGCCATGATGGTGAGGAAGGCAAAGTTGGCTGTAGCAAAGAAAAAAAAGAAGAAAACTTGGGCAACACATCCAGCGTAGGGAATGGACCTGGTGTTCCACAGGGAATTAGCCATGGATTTGGGAACAGTTACAGAGATGGTTCCAAGGTCTAGGATGGACAAATTCATCAGGAAGAAGTACATGGGAGTGTGAAGTTGGTGGTCGAGGGCCACCACCATGATAACGAGGAGATTACCTATCAGAGCTGCCAGGTACGCTGCCAGAAAGATGGCAAAATATAAAAGCTGCAGCTCCTGGCTGTCAGAAAATTCCAGGAGGAGAAAGCCAGTGACGGTGGTTTGGTTGGCCATTGCCCTTTTCCGTCCCTTGGGGGATGCCTGTGGAGGAAAGAACAGGAGCAGCAGTCACAATCAGACAAACAAATATGAGTGGCTGTGATTCTCCTGTCAAAAGCATCTCACAAACTCGCTTTCAAACACACTGTCTGTCTGGTTGTCTGTCTGCTGCCAGATATTCAATCGACGTTCATTTTTTATTTAAATTTTGACTTTTGAAAAACTGACTTTTGAAAAGCCTTTTCTAGGGGAAATGTTTGCTTTTGAAGAAATGTTCTGATTTGTACACCAAGCTGAAAGACAGTATAATTCAGCAGGCACTGCTAGACAGATCAAATGATTGCTATCACCTAGGAGGTGTAAACTCTCCACACTTTTGAAAATAAGTGCTATAGTCAGGTTCATTATTAAAGAAGGGTTACTTGGTAGAATGACTGTAGAGGTCACAAGGCTGAGTCAAGGACAACACCAAAACTCAGCTAGAAAAAAAATAGAGAAAAATACAACCACCTTCAGTTTTACTGTCATAGGAGGGAGGTCTCAACCCCACAGTGAAAAACATACTTACAGCTTGTGCAGAAAACTGTAACACTAATATTTCAATATAGCATCCTTCCTTCTTCCAGGGGATATACTGCATAGTACCAGCTTGGCAGGGCTGGTCAAGGATAATTGACTCCCTAGGCAAACTGTGTACCTCAGCGCCCCCACCACTTCCAATATAGAGGAAAATAAGAAGTCTAGAATGAACTTTTACATGTACTTATTTGATATTCAAAATGAACAATAAAACAATAAAAACAAAAATTTTTAGTGAAAGAAATCAGTGTCATGAGCTGTAAAATGATATAGGAGTAGGGGTTCATCTTTTAGGATGCCGTTGCCAGTGGTATGCTCTTGTCATAAGTCCACTTGAGAGTGGAAAAGGTAGGAGTCCCGATTCTAGTGATCTTTCCTCTGAGATCTTTTCCGAGGTCTTTCTCCCCTTACCAGATCAAAGGTCTTAGACCAAGGTGGACCCACAGTCGGACAGGGCTGTTATTTAGAATGATGTTTCTGTTATTTTGTTCTGCATATAATTTTGGCTCCCCCCAAATTTTGGCACCCTAGGTGACCTCCTAGTTCACCTAATGGTTAGACCTGCCCTGCTTGTAGGTGCGGCTACACATCACCCTACAGTGACGTAGCAATGCAGTACATTGCCATATGGTATGCTACGGCAGCATAGTGTTCATGTGGGTCTACACATGATCACCAGCTATGTCACTGTAGTGGCGCGCTCCCCAGTTATAGTGCCCCACTACAGCAACATAGCTGGTAAATCTAAGCATGTGTCACCCATTCGCTGCAGTATGGTGCTTACTGTGCCGTGTTTTAGTACTTCCACATACCATATGGTGATGTGTAGACACATCCTGGATGTAATAATTCCACACCCAAGGTTTGCACATAGACTGACTGCTACCTGCTTGCAAATTAACATATGGTGCCTCATACCAGTTGGATAGTCATCTCTATGTGAAAAGGGCATACTACTATCTCTCTGTTACTTCTGCTCTGTGTAACCACATTTGTTACACTGGCACCTGGACCAGAAGCCGAGTTCTGGAGGCAGTCTACTGTATTACTTCAATGCTATGCTCATTTGTTCACAGCATTTCAATTCAGCTTTGCAGCAATGGTGCCAAGAACACAGAGTTCTAATCTCATTGACTTTCTTTATGTCCTTAGCTTTTCTTTCTTAGTATTCACACTTCAAGCAACTTACTGTGCTGTTCTTTGTGGGTCTTCTCCAGTCTTCTGCTGCACTTGATCTTCCACTGACTGGATTCTTTGCTCACCACCCAACTCTCAATTTATCTAATCTCTCTTTCCTCCGCTACTGTAGTTTCTAGATGACAGAGACACTGATTATTTGATTTAATGCTATTTCTCTGCACAAATAAACTAGCTGTAGCAGAGTGAGCCTCCCTGGTGTGAAAGAATCGAAGCTGAAGTAAGCAGGCTTATTTGTGTCACTCTTCTAAGGGATTGTGGGACTCATTCCCTAGAGCTCTGCATAGCTCCGAAGCCTAGGCCAAGATGCAAACAACCCAAAGTTTTCAAAGGCAAAGGGACATATTTGGATTTTTGCTTGACCTACCAGAAGGCACAGGTCATAAGTTTCACCCAGGGTTCCCTGCTTCTAGCTGTGTGTAATCTGTGGAACGGACTGACAAAGGTTTTAAGGCACCCACAGATACAGACAGATGCTCAGTTGAATTTAAAAAGCTACGTAAGGTGGTTGGCTAGTACCCTTTGCTTAGGAGCTGGTTTAAATCCCACTAGCTGATTATCTAAATATTTTAGCACCTCAATGCCTATGGAACCTTGGTCCTGACTCTAGGTCATCATTTATACCCTCTCTAAAAAAAGGGTAAACTGCTATATTTCAGGTTTCACCTACCATGGGGTAAGACCCTGCACCAAGGTGGTTATCAGTGGGCACATCTACACAAGATGCTTAACTGCTCAGCAGCATAGTTTACTGTGCAGTAAGTGTGTGCATCTACATGTGCACATACTTAAGTTCAGTAAAACCCCCTAATTATGAGTAAATTTGATACCTGCAAATGCAAGTATGAAATTTACTCATGATTAGTGTTAGCATGTCCGCGCTGGGTACCGCCTAATCCCCGGATTCTCTCCTGCCACGACTTCGATCTTATTAAAGAGATAGGGAGGGGAGAGATGTTACCATGATTAGTACCCGCGGAAGGACCACACTTGGTCTAATTTACAATCCAGGTGCTTTATTCTGTCTTTTACGGAGAACCCAGTGTAATGCAGCAGCTTGTCAGAGTGTCCCTGGGATCACCCGCGTGCTCTGAAGAGGATCCCCGCCAACTCAATTAAAACGGTAAGTGAGGGGGAGCGTCTCGACTTCCCACCACCAATTAACTCATTAGCGACTTGTTATGGGTGCCGCCCAGTCTCCTTTGCCGCGCTCTGTGCCAGCGCGACTCCTGGATCCTTCCTGCCATCAGGGTCACGGAACTTGGACTTGGCTCCCCTCTTCCTTCCGGTTGTGGGGTGATGGGCAGTGTCCCTTCTGGAGTCTAGCCTTGTGACCCCTTTTCACTTTAGTATTACTCAGCTGTGTCCTAGCACGGAACCGCGGCTCATCCCTGCTTAGCGTCTCGACTTTTCCGGACTCACCACAACTCCTGTAGGGTCCTGGTAAGTAGTACGAGGGGTGCCAGCCCTGGCTTCCGGGGTCCCTCGGTCAACACTTGCCTTGTGTCATGGATCCCTTCACTGGATCCTCTCTCTCTCATGAGTCTTCAGCAGCTCCTCTTCTCTCTATGGTGCCCGAAAGTGCCCTTCCCCAGGTGTCCTCCTCTTCATATCTCTAGGCGCTGAGTCCCATTGGCTCTCAGTGGGCGTGGGGCGTCTCCTCACCCTGCCAGGCCATTATCGCTTTCAGCTGCAGGATCTCTCAAGTAACAGGGTTTCAGTCAGGAACCCTGTTACAATTAGTTACTGCACAGTAATGCACATGTAGATGTGACCTGAAAGCAAATTTGCTCCCATATCAGCCCTGCCACTAGGGGACCGGCCTGAGGCTAGCCCCAGGGCTCTGGGATGGGAGCCTCTCCTGCCACAGGGCCCCTGCCTCAGGCCTTTAAAAGCCTGCAGGTATGTTAAGCCCTGGGGCAAACCAGCAGGGAGCTGGAGGTCACTCAGGCCCCTAAGTCCCCCTGGGCAGGCCACAGGCCAGATACCCCAGCTTGCCTGCACCCCACTGCCACTGCCAGGCCCATGCTGTTCAGGCCTACAGATTGCTGCAGGCTGCTGCAGGCTCCAGCCAGGCTTGCCAGCACCCAGACCCAGCTACAGGCAGCTTCTGGCTGCTGGGACCAGCTCCACCAACCCACAGCCCATCCCCAGCAGCCTGCCCTGAGCTTGCAGGTTCTGTGTAGCATTGCCTCTGCTGGGTAGCTGCCAGTCCCATGCCAGGCCCTTGTTCTGGGTACTGCAGTTGACTGCCCAGGCCTGACAGCACAGGGACAGTCACATAGAGGCCCAGAGAGCTGGTTTGGGACTCATGAGGTCCTTGTCATCACTGACGACCATGCCCATGCACATGCACATCACATGGGGCCCCACCTGGTCTGTGGAGGAGACTGATGACATTATGGTGCTGTGGGGCACGGCAGAGGTACAGCACCAGTTCAAGCAGTGTGGCCGCTCCAACAGCTATATCTACAAAGGGCTGTCAGGCCTGATGCAGGAGCATGTCCACAACTGGTGGGTGTGGCAGTGCCACATAAAGGCCAAGGCCTTGCAGGCACAGTGGGTTGCCATCACCGACCACAATCATCAGTCAGGGAGTGCCTGCAAGTCCATGCCCTTTATATGGCAACTGATGGACATCCTCATGCCCCAGACCCAGGAGAGCAGTGGTGACGTGGGGGTGGGGGCTGGGCAGGGCTTGGCTCTGGGATGCCTCCTCAGAGAGACCCATTGCAGGGAGTGTGGGAGCACAGGCAGCTCCTTGTCCCAATTGTCTGGGAGCACCATGCCCTTGAGCCCAGGGGCCATGGGCTGGGCTGCCGCAGAGCATAGCAGAGTGGTTGGCTTGAATGAGAAGGGGTGGGGAATGGGGTCTGGAGCTGCAGCAACAGATGATCCCAGAAGCCTGTTCCACCCTGGGAGTGGGGTGGAGGCAGGCTGCCTGTGGCCAGCACCCACTGACTCAACAGCCCCAGGGGAGCAAGTGGGGACAGGGGAATCTGCTGGTGGCTGCCTGGGCCCAGACCTGCCTACCCGGCTGACTTACCATGGTCTCTCGGCACCTATGCACATCCGACCAATGATCTGAGGCTGGGCTCTGCATGGCTCCTAGTGCAGGGCATCTTATCTCTTAAATGTTGCAAACACATACAAACAGCTTCTTTCACATGGATCTAAAGGGCCTGCAGCTGCACATGGGGGAGAGGCTGCACTTGGAAGTTGGGATGCAGCCTCAGGGTTGCCACCACCTACAGCTGAGGCTCAGCAGATGTGCCACTCTTCCAAAGGACACTGAGCAAGACCCTCCTCCTGGACCGCCTGGTCACAGCATTGGAGAAACAGTTGGTGGATGCTTGGGCCCGGTGGGCCAAAGATACGGCCCACCAGGGTAGGTGGCAGGTGGAGGACATTGCCCACAAGGACATATGGGACCAGTATGAGGAGTCATAGGACCAGTGCAACGAGGCATGGGATCAGGCAGACAGGGAGTTCTGGGCATAGCTTCTGTCCCTAGAGCACAAGCAGGTGGAGGCACTGCAGGAACAGAATGCCATCCTGGCCTGGGCCATGAAGGCCATGTACACTGGACACTATGTTGGCCCTGATGGTCACCTTCATGCTGCCTGCTGCCCTGCCACCCAACCCCAGCCCTGCCTGCCCCCTGACAGCCACCCACCCTCCAGCAGTGGGTCCCCATCTGGGCCTGGAAAGAGGTCCTGTGCTACCTCCAGCAGCCAGGAGCCTTTGCCTAGGACCCCACTCTCGGTCTGGCACCACTTGCCCCCGCCCCACCCCACCTTGGCCCGGCCCCACCACTCATCCCAGCTGCACATGGGCACAGAGTCAGAGCTGCCTGCACTGGGGCCAGGACCTCACATTGGTCCTGCTTGGCCTGGCCGCTGTCTGCCAGAGGTGGAGAAGCAGCTGCCATTGCCCCTGGACAAGCCCTTCACCTGCTGCACTCATTGTAGTATGTGTACCCATGGAGAAATGGCCAAAGGCTGGGGTGCTGGCCACCTGTCCCTGGGCTCTGTCCCCTAGGCACCCCTATCCCTTGGCCCTCTACCTTTGGTTGGCACACAAAGGACGTTGTACAAAGTTTTCATGGGGAAGTTGTTTTATTGTTGGTGGGTGGTGTGGGTAGTGGAGGGGCTCTATTTGTTGGGGAGAGGGGAGAGAGGGACTCTGTTTGTGGGGCAGGGAGAGGGGAGGTTGTCTCTGTTTGTGGGGGATGGAAGGGGGAGGCTTGCTCTGTTTCATGTGAGGGGAATAAAGACTTGTTCTTATGAGACGTGTCTGTAGTGAGTGTGGTGCTAGGGGTTGGGGGTGGGGCGGGGGTGCCAGGTCCATGGGCATCAGTTCAGGTGGGCTAGAGTAGGGAGTGCTGAAGGAGCTGGCCAGCCAGTACCTCCTGCATCTGGCGCCCTGGCCCCCATTGCCAGGGGTGCAGATCTCCTGGGGCCTTAGCTGGGGTGGCTGCTGCTGCCACCACAGGTGGTGCTCCCACTGCCAAGTAGTCTCTGCTCACCATGCCTCCTCCACCTGGGCCTCATGGAAGAGATCCCCTGGGCCTTGCAGATGTTACGCAGCACACAAGCTGCAACAATGAGTTGGGGGAGGTTGTCCTTGGCCCTTCAGATGACCAAAGGAACGCTCCACCAGGGTGTGGGTCAGGCCCAGGCAGCGGTTTAAGTGGGCCTGGTGGAAACCCACCTGGCCAGTGCAGGGCCACATGAGCCAGGACAGGAGCAGGTAGGCAGGATTCCCAATGAAGAGGTGCAGGACCACCACAGCCGATTTGAACACAAAAGATAAAATTAAAACATATGCCTCATCTTTTATCTCCAGCGATGGCTAATCCTCTCTAGCTCAAAGCTGACTATAACTCAACTCCTTGACAATTTATCATGGGGGTTAAGACCAGAGATTGTTTTATTCTCTCAGGAGGACCTGAAGCAGCAAAAAGATATTCTTTCAGATAATCAGACTATAACAAACTCAGGGAATTGGTAAACAGGATTCAATGGAAGGTAATCTGATGGAAAAATAAGTGCAGGAAAGCTGGTTTTACTTTAAATAGAGCAGATTATGGACAGAAGGGTAGGCTATCCTGATGCAAAGGAAGGGTAAGAAGAGCAGCAGACGACCAGCCTGACTTAACAGCAAATTCTTCCATGAGTTGAACATCCAAAAGAAATCTAAAAGAGGGGAGACTTTGTTCCTCATTAGCGATGAATATGACTGTTGCTTGGACATGCAGGGGAAAAAATCAGGACGGCTAAGTGTTAGAGTCCCCTCTTTAAACGCCACTCATTCTTCCCCTGTTTGTCAGTGAAAAGCTAGACTTTTAACCCTCCCATAGCCACTGCCAAATCATCAGTATTTTTTGGCTGAACAGTCAATTAGGCAGTAGCTGTGAGAAGATTCAAAATCTAGCTGTTATGCCAGAGTGGACTCTAAATTTGCTGCTTGTGTCTAAGAGAGAAGCATAGCCTTTGGCAACCATTTCAACACCCCCATGTTTCCATTCCAGCACAGATATCAGCTTCCCCACTTAAGATGGACACCCCAATTTTGGATGGCTATTTTTTGGGGGAAAAAGGTACATGTAGTAGGTGTTTAAATAAGATATTAGATGTAAGACACAGGAGGTGATAGTGCCACTGTATTTGCTTCTCGGCCTTTTGGCTAAGATCAAGTGCTGTTAAGCTTCATCTAGAGTATTGTGTGCAGTTATCAGCTGTCCGTTTTAAAAAGGACATGGAAAAATGCTAGAAGGCTCAAAGGTGGGAGATACATATGATAAAGCATTTGGAAGGAGTCCATATGAGGAGAGTGTCAGAGACATGAGCATGTTTAGTGTGTGGAACTGAGTGGGGAACAATCTCTCTAACTTGTCGCCTACCCAGCTCCATGCTCATGGAGCTGGGCAGGGAACTAGCCTCCACCCTGTGATTGCAGAGCCGGGGGCTGGTAACTGCCTCTACCCGGGACAGTCTTGTGTCCCCGCCCTGTGCCCTGATTGGGTGCAATCGAAGAATGGAGCTTGGAACGACTTCAAAGGGTGGGGTAGGTTCCAGCCCCCTGCCCTGATCCTCCAGTGGGGCAACTAGCAGTGACCCCCCCCCCACCTCCAATCGTGCCCCACTGGTGCCCCTGCTCCCCGACTCGGGAAGCACTAGTCGCCCACGCCAATAGGATCTGGGATCAACACTCCTAAAGTTTGGTTAACATCTAAGTACAAATATATTAGCCAAGACTACAACAAGCAAGCAAATAACACAGAAGATATTTGCCATGTCTGGCAAAGACCACTTCCAAAATGATAAAGGATAGTCAGGCAAGCCCATCATTTCCACTTTTCTTATGTGGACTGAGATGCAACTTCAGATAATTAAGCTACTTAAATTCCCCTATTTGTTCAGCAGTATGATTTCCATTTTGAGAGAGAGAGAGAGAGAGATGTAGTATTTATTCATGGAATGACAGCTACATCAGTTACAATTTCCTGGCTGGCAGTGTTCATACACAAAGCTTCCAGTCTGGTGATTCTGTCATTCGTTCACCAAAGCACAGTATAAACTGACACAAGTTCATTTCTGAATTAAGTGAAACAAATATTTACAAATGAACTATTTGACAGTGAGATGGGGATGGAGTCAGGCTCTTGTATACTCTTTTCAAATCAGTTCTGGACCTTCTTCTGGACAGACTAAACCATGCGAGGGTTAGGATACATGTGTATGAACAATAAGTAAAAGCGTTTAGGTTTTTACCGCATTAGCCATTCCTCAGTAACTGCTCATGCATAAATCCACTGTGAACAACCTAACAGCAAATGTATAGCTGAGTCTAAGTGTAGGAAGCCTCCAGTTGTAGAAAATGCATGTATACTGGCTTAAACCACAGAGCGTTCATATGAGTAAATCCATTTACAATTCTTATTGGGAATAATTTTAAAATGAACACTATGGTGTCAAGACAATCCTTTCATTAGAATAAGGTGAGGATTTCCCCAAAACACCTGGGCCAAGAGCCATTTATTTTCCACAGCTCTGAATTCTGTTTTGCTTTAACTTGCTAATCATGGGTGACTGGTGCCTCCCGTGTCTGGGGGGGGCACCAGATTGCTGATGGGGAGGGGGAGGGCGGTGTCCCAGTGGCCGATCGCTGAGCCAGTGGTGAAGCCAGAAGTGCACTTCCAGTGGCACTCCTGGTTTCACAGCTGGTGCCTCCAGGGGGTGCATGGCCAATCTCAGGGGATGCATGGGCACCCGCATGCACTCCCTACGCATCACCGATGTTGCTAACAGAGTTCTGGCGATGCGTGCGTTCTTTTCCAATTCATAAACATATAGAAAACTGTCATTAGAGCCTCCTTGACATCTTTGTTTCTCAGGCTGTAAATAAGAGGGTTGGCCAGTGGGGTCAGGACAGTGTAGAAAAGAGAGAATATTTTGTAGAGGGCTCTAAGACTGTTGGTTCTTGGGAACATATAGACAATGACCAGCATCCCGTAGAAAATTGTCACAACACTAATATGAGAGGAACAGGTGGAAAAGGCTTTTTGTCTCCCGCTAGTGGATGGGATTCTCAGTATGGTGGTGATAATGCAGATATAGGACAGAAGAGTCAAAAGGAATGGGGGCAGAAGCACTATGCAGTCAAGACTGTAAGCTGCAAGCTCAATCTGATAGGTGTCACTGCAGGAGAGTTTAATCACTGGAACATAGTCACAAAAGAAATGGTCAACTTCATTGGGTCCACAAAAGGTTAATTGTAAGAATAAGAGTGATATAATAGAGACAGCTGTAAATCCACTGATCCATGAGCCAGCAGCAAGTTTGAAACACAATCGGTCACTCATCAGGGCTGCATAATGCAGTGGTTTACATATGGCTAAGTACCGATCATAAGACATCACAGACAAGAGACAACACTCTGTACTTGCCAACATACCAAAGAAAAAGAATTGGATGAAGCAGCCAGATAATGAAATTGTTCTGTCCCCAGTGAGGAAGCTGGCCAGCATTCTGGGAAGGATAGTGCAGGTATAGCAGGTCTCCAAGCAGGACAAGTTCCCCAGGAAGAAGTACATGGGGGTGTGCAGATGCCGCACAGCTATGATGAGCACAATGATGAGGACATTCCCAGCCATGGTTGCAATGTAGAGTATGAAAAATAGCAGGAAGAGAAGCATTTGCAACTCTGGCAGAATTTCAAAACCCAGGAGAATAAATTCAGCGATGGAAGTTTGATTTCCTACTTCTGCATCTGCCATAGCATCGGAGGAATTCCATACAGCTCTGCAAAATAATGTGAGGAAAACAAGCACCTTTGAATGCCATGGGATCAGCCCATCTCCTGAGTTTTGAAGAGATTACTGTTCCCTGAAAATGACCCATTGAGGTTGGCCTTACAAAGTTCCCTGTAGTTGGTGAATAGTCCAGCATAGTTATGAAGTATATGTTTTAATGTTACACAGCTCATAATATTAATCCCATTCATAGTATTCTCATTGTTTCTAGATTTGTGCTGCTATAGAATATGGCTGTCAAACCATTATACTGTTTTAAGTTTAAATTTCATGAACTCCAGGTAAAAATTCCAATCACTCTATACATGATACAGTAACAATGTATCCATTTCTATAAGTGCTGATGACATAAATTTGGTTTGTCATATTAGATCACTGTAATCTCTCTGAATCCAGAATTAGTACATGATAAAGACTAAAGAATATATTCTGGGTCAAAATAAAATCCCATTCTCTCCCCATAAGCAGACAGAAGGCAGACTTTTGTGCTTTTCTGGTTGTTAGGATGCTCTCTTACTGCTTTACAAAGTACTGCCCACCCCACGGGTTTGTAAAGTATTTCTCAGGTCCCATGAATCATGACAGAGGCTTAACTGAAAAAGCAGTCCATTTGACAAAAGAAGTAACTTTGTTTTTCTCCCTACAAATGAAGCTTGTTATAGAAAAACACAAAATACGTACATCTGTCTGCTGAAATTCAGACTAGGTATTTTGAAACAATGCTGAGAACTGAATGTAGAAAGTTCATTACTTGAGTTCTGTACTCTGCTGTCAAAGACAGCGATGCAACTGGACCCTTGTGCATCCTGAATTACAGCAGTAGACAAAACACTATCAGCGCCTGGTGCTAAAATGGCGGGGCTGATTTCCAATTACCCCAACCGGATCATTATCCATGCATGATAAAGGGCTGCCATATCTGGCACTGAAAACTTTTGGTCCCAATCTATGCACGCTTACCCTGGTTCATGCAGCTCTATGGCAGACACCTCTTTGACAACCTCTGGATCCACCTGGCAGGACAGTGGTAATTGCCCTGAAAGTACAAAAACATATGTTAACCGAATAGCCTTGACCTCTAAGCTGTTGCCAAGGATCAAACTAAAGTAATGAACTATATGGCTATCTTAAAACACAGATATTCAGTTGGGTCAAAAATGTGCAGTGCACCCTATGACAGCCATTTAGAATGCCAGATAATGATCAGGTTGGGGTAATTCCAGGGCAATGGGGAAAAAATATTATTTAACAGAAAATGGCCCTCATAAAAATTCTACTTAATTGAAATGGACATGTGATAGATTCACAGAATTGGAAGGGGAACAACTTTTGAGGCCCCTTCCAATTCTGTGAATCTATCATGTGCCCATTTCAATTAAGTGGAAATTTTACGAGGGCCATTTTCTGTTAGAAACTAATCAAATGGAAGAAAAAAATTGTGCAGCTCTTTTCAAAGTTCAGTGTAAAAAGAAATACTATTATTGTCAATCATATAAGCCTGACAGATCTAGAACTGAAGTGACTGAAGGTGCATTAAGGGGACATAATTCAATATTGGAATCCACATAATTCCTAACAAGAGAGCATTAGGATTATTCCAACATTATTGTGAGAGACACTTTTTTTATTCTGAGTTGCTTTTTTCTTAACTCACAATTTAACTTAGTGTGAAAGATTTATTCCTTTAAACACTTACAATTATATCATGAAATTATATTTCTTCTACTGTCTGGGATTACATATTGATGCTGACATTCCTGGATGCTTAATAAATGTCATACTATTATAAAACTTATTTAACCTATATCACATCACATATGATTAAACTGTTCTGAAATTAACAAATAGGATTAAAGAAAATAGAAATTGAAGGATGACTATTTTTATGTACACACAAAATGTCTTTTCTTTTTTGGATGTACTATTCTATATTACTATTGAAGTATTCAGGTTATATATTTCACTTCTCCATCATCTCTGAGTCTTGGACTATGGGTAAAATGTAAAACAAAAAAAAATTGTGTTCGTATAAGTTAAATAACATGTATAAAAATGTCCAAATGCCTATGTTACATTTTCATATTGATTTTAGTTTGATAAATTGTAGATCTATTCAGAATATTATTTATATGGAACTGGTTTGATTATAGCATTTCCATTAATGAGTGGACAAATTAGTTCTATTTTTCTATCCAAATCTTTACCTACCTCCCTACCTCCCACCTTAAATCTACAGATCAGTCAGTCTCACCTGCGTCCCTGGAAAAATCATGAAGCAGATCCTCAAGGAATCCATTTCTAAGCACTTGGAGGAGAAGAAGGTGATTAGGAACAGTCAGCATGGATTCACCAAGGGCAAGTCATGCCTGACCAACCTGATTGTCTTCTATGATGAGATGATGGGCTCTGTGGATGTGGGGAGACCAGTGGATGTGGCATACTTTGATTTCAGCAAGGCTTTCGATACGGTTTCCCACAACATTCTCACAGGCAAGATAAGGAAGTATGGGATGGATGAATGGGCTGTAAGATAGAAAACTGACTGGACCATTAGACTCAGAGAACAGTAATCAATGGCTCAATGTCTAGCTGGCAGCCAGTATCAAGTGGAGTGCCCCAAGGGTCAGTCCTGGGGCTGGTTTTGTTCAATGTCTTCATCAATGACCTGGAAGATAGCATAGAGTGCACCCTCAACAAGTGTGCAGATGATAGCAAGCTGGGGGGAGTAGTAGATACCCTGGAGTGTAGGGCTTGGATTCAGAGTGACCTAGACAAATAGGAGGACTGGACTAAAAGAAATCTCATGAGGTTCAACACAGACAAGTGCAAAGTCCTGCACTGAGGATGGAACAGTCCCATGCACTGGTACAGCCTGGGGGCTGACTGGCTGGGCAGCAGCTCTGTAGAAAAGGATCTGGGGGTTACAGTAGAAAATAAGCTGAATGTGGGCCAACAGTGTGCCCTTGTTGCAAAGAAGGTTGATGGCACAGTGGACTATATCGGTAGGAAGTGTTGCCAGCCGGCCAAGGGAATTTATTACCCTGTATTCAGCACTGGTAAGGCCACCTCTGGAGTCGTGTGTTCAGTCTTGGGCCCTCCACCACAGAAAGGATGTGGAAAAATTGAAAAAAGTCCAGTGGAAGGCAACAAAAATGGTGAGGTGACTGGGAGACGTGACATATGAGGAATGACTGGAGGACATGGGATTATTTAATCTGAGCGTGGATTTACTAGCAGTCTTCAACTACCTGAAAGGGGATTGCAGAGAGGATGGAGCTGGACTGTTCTTAGCGGTGGCAGATGACAGAACAAGGAGCAATGGTCGCAAGTTGCAGCAAGGGAAGTTTAGGTTAGATATTAGGAAAAAAAATTCTCACTAGGAGGGTAGTAAAATCCTGGAACCAGTTACCCAGAGAAGTGATGGCATCTCCATCCATGGAGGTTTTTTAGACCTGGAAAGACAAAGCTTTGGCTGGGATGATCTAGTTGGGGCTGGTCCTGCTTTGAGCAGGGGTTGGACTAGATGTGACCTCCTGAGGTCCCTTCCCACCCTAATTTTCTGTGATTCTATGATACTATGATATCATATTATTTGAAGAAATGAAGAGACAAAATGTTAGTTTACCTTGCAAGGGTGAAGAAAAACTTAAATCTCTGATGTGGTCCCTTCAATGTTCATTCTGGAGACCAAAGTATTGCTTTTGTCATCAACCTTCTATCCTGATGCATTTCAGATGCATCGTTTCTTCCACTTAGGAGACCCACATATTCTCAGAAAGATCATGTGGTTCTTCACCCATGTTCTTGTCCATATGCACAGAATAGGCATTACACAATGTCAGTCTCTACCTGAAATCATTATTTATCCTGCCTTGGAGAAGCTGATAATATCACAGACATTTCTGCTGATGGGCATGTGAAATCATAACTGTGCAGGCAAAGCCGTAATATAAATAGAAGCAAGTAAACAACCCCAAAAATGAGAGAGAGAGAGAGAGAGAGAGAGAGAGAGAGAGGTTTCAGACTGAAATATTAGGATGAAATAAATAAAAAAGAAAGGGAAAAAGGAAATATCTCTACTCTCATTAGGATGGGCATAGTGTCACTGATTATGAAGTAATGAACACTTCAACATCTTAGCATTATTATGGAGTCAGTCTAACATCTCTCGTGGGCTGAAATCTCCCATGGGCTATATTCCCAATTCCAGACTTGTCCACAAAAGACAGTGGAAGAACTAGAGCAGGCAGCAAAGGAATATATTTTAACATGGAAACATGTGGCATTTAGTTCAATTTGAGACAAATTCACTGTTTTGGCAAAGAACATCCCAAATTATTGAAGAATAAAGTTGGGTATGGGCAACTATTCACATGAATTGTATTAGTTCCTGCATTAATCTGTAGTGCTTTTGTACGATACAGGCCATTCATAACTGAAATGCTTCATTTTGTTCTAGAGGGGATGCTATTTAGGTGGTCTATAATAGGGGGCTGGTGAGCACTGAAGGATGGTCCAGAGACCAAGGTGCTGGAGTAGAGTGACCTTTAGGCAATATTGTGAGGGAGAACCTAGGAAGTCTGGTGCTGTTCTGTGTGGTGGGATGAAGGCAGAACTGTATTAAGCTCAAATAAATATTGACTACCATTCTTTTGCCTCTTAATGAAGCAAATTTTTTTAATTAAAAACTAAAGACAAGTAAAGGCTGTTTGCTGTTCCCTTAAAATAAGCAAAGTGCTGTGCAGATGATGGGTAGGGTATGAAGGAAATGTTACTCAGGCATGAGGAAAGGAAAGGTGGGGAGGTATGCTCCTAGAAAGTATGTAAATAATAGTACTGGTTTTCATTTTAGAAGCTGCTTCATATTTTGTGGGCTCTCACAATGTTATTTATTCAAACACCTGATGCCTGCTTCGCAACCACTCGCTGTTTGTTGACTCTTTGCACACACTAGGCAATTTTCT